TTAGATTTTTATTTGAGATCACGAATTCTGTGTTAGGATTTTCTTTTTGTTTTATTCATACATTTTGCATGACAATTTTTGCAACCTATTTTAAACACGAATTTTGTACTGTCGTGAACAGGACTTTACCATTATCAATTAATTAACATTTAATGTAAATTACATAAACTATGACGGAGTCATTTTTTTCTGACCCTATAGCATTAAGCGCCAAAACGCGTCATCAAGGTGGAATCTATTTTTATTTACAAGAAGCTAATAAAGGTCTGGGTCTGTGTGTTTCATGTTCTACGTGAGAGTAATCGGATACAAGGAGTAGCGCCAAGGAGAGAAAAGAAGACATAGCGCCAAAAAAAGCTCAAGAATGTGTAGTTCTAGTATATAAGGGTCTATCTGTGTGATTGCGTATTATAAAATATTTGTAATTACCGCGCCATTGTGCTAATCCAGTATTGCTTCATCGACAAAGATTGGATGTATACCTATGTATCCGTATTAAGCGTATGTACTATAAATTGCGTAGCGTTCGAGTGTGTGTGAATGATGTCCTGGTAGTAAGATTCAGAAGTATGTATGTAGATATAGTGCGGTAATGCGCGAGGTAACACTCCTGTAGTAGCATCCGAGCGAACCAGAGCTTCCAATTTTTTTGCGTTTTCGGGAGGAATCGAGAGAATCGAGAGAGAGAGAAAGAGAAGAGCGGAATCAGCTTTCCAAGCCAACCGGGAACGACCTTGCGACCGACGACCGAGGAGACGAGAACTATCGCCACCCCCAGCTGTCATCTGCGAGACCAGGTCATCGGCAGGCCCAATAGTTGATTTGACCCGGAATATGGTGAACCTGGAGGTAAGTGTAAAGTAGAGTGTGCGAGCGTGTGTGTATTTACGTGTGTGTCGGGGGATCGGGTAGTGCGGGACGCCCTCGGGAAGCGTGGAGTGCGAGAACGGGAGAGTTCGGGGGAAAGTGCGATTGTCACGGATTGTTGCGATAGCGCCGGATCGCACCAAGATTCGGGCCTAAAAGCCCACGTGTAAAAGTTCGCCAAAATAAAGTGAAGTGTTCTTATGGATCATTTACCTCGTCTATTGTCGTGCGTGTGTTTTTCCTTCCTTCCGAATTTACAGGTCGTGCCTCGTTTCTCCTTGGGAGAGTAGTCTGATCCCGACGGACTACTGCCGGCGGGACCTCCTCAGGGACGAGTCTCCTGGGCCAAGCAGCGGACATCGTGAGCGTGGGGACAGGGGTTTTTCGCGTTTCAGGATACAGCGGACTTTGGCGAGAGGATCTTTGTAAGTGTCTTTGGACGTTGTTTCGGGACCGCCCTGGCTGTGACATCCTGTAGTGTCTCAGGGTACGAAACCGCAACGTCACAAAACATGAGCATACGTACAGTTTGGTTGTATTAGGTGGATTCTCAAAATTTTTTATCATTCATTTTAATTACAATAGATTCAATTGATTTTTTAACAAATCTTGGATACGAAAAGATTTTTCAGAATTCAATTATCCTCGAATTAAAACTAAATTGACATTTTCCTCATAAAACGAGGAAATCACACTGTGTACTAAGTCATACTTAACATTTTTTGTTAATGGCATTAAATGACCAGAATTAAATTCTAGGAAACGACTACAGGCCAAAGGCTTGCCAAACCATGTAGTGATAAGATTTTTTTAGTTGTTTTGATACTTGAGTCTAAAAAGTTAATGCTGTAAACAAAAGGTTAAAAAGTCAATTTCAAATGTTGATGGTCAGTATTCAACCTATGTAAAAGTCAGTGTTTATACGTTGAGATTTTAAGCACACAATAGTATCGTTGACTGTGCGAAAATTAACGAAAGGTTCACTGTTATAAGTTAGTTTCAAAATCCACCAAGCAGTCAGTTTTCAAGTCATCCATAATTATATTGATAATAAAGTATATAATAAGTATATAATAAGCATATAATAACTATATTAAAGTCTCTTAAATTCACGAAATAATCCTTAAATAAAACTCTGACAGCATAAACATATCGTGAGAAATTATTTACTCTGTATGATATTTTTTTTGTATACTCTGAAAAAGTCTTGGAAATTATTGTTTGAAATTTTTATCTCTGAGCATTGTACGCCATTTTTTTCAAGTTAGTGTTACGTCGGTGCGACGTACTATTCGAGTCCAAGCTTTCGCTTAATAACTTAAGACACACGCTGGGCACGTTAATGGGACACAGAGCTAAAGGGACAGTTCTAACTAACGACACGATACTTGCAAAGAAGCTACGACTGTTTTAACACAACTTGAAGCGATTATTATGCAAGGAATATCCCGATACACTTAACCTGCGCACGGTGCGCCTAAAGTTATTTTATTTTATCCAGAGCGGTGTACCGAAGGGTATCTCACCCGCGATCTGGACGATGCCGGCACTGTTACGAGAAAAAGTTTTGTTTCTCGCGACCGGGCTCGGATGTATTAATACCGTCGCGAGTACTGATTTTCGCTTTATTTCTGTTAGTTCTTGTTCTGATAGTACCACTACCGTGGCGGATGGTGGCGTGCACGAAAAATAGCTTAGCAAATTTCAAGGGGCCACGGGTTCCAATACCGTGGCGGATATTGGTGCGCGCGTAAACAACTTGATAATTTTCGAAGATCTACGGGTACCAATACCGTGGCGGATATTGGTGCGCCCGTAAACAACTTTGATAATTTTCAAGGATCCTTGGATACCAACACTGTGGCGGATATTGGTGCGCGCGTAAACAACTTTAGTTATGGACCCAGCCGAAAAAGATTACAAACGGAAAAAAAAGAATACTAGAAAATTATAACTTTCACACTTACTTTTATTTAAATATAACTAGAGTACACGGCGAACCAGTACGAGCCGAGGTAAGTAAAGAGGTTTTTGCTACGCGCTCGTGGAGGACTGAGTGATTGCAGAGTCGGACTCTAACTATTCAGTCGACTGTTCAAGGGTGAAAAACAAAAATGAACTGGGTCCTTACCTCGTGGTAGACTGGGAGGTAGCAGAGGCGGACTCTTATCACTCAGTCTACCGTTCGAGGGGTCCGAGTTAAGAGAATCTCTAGGCCTTTTTATAAGGAGTAGCGAACCTCGGTGACGCGCTGGTTCGATAACAACGCAGGAGAGGTTGCCGGGGAAAAATTTTGCAAAAATGACAATAGCCGAAAATCCCATTGGCTAGAACTCCCCTAGTATAGCCACTCAGAAATTGGCACTTTTCACAACCGGTTCACTCTCCTCTTTGCGTTAAGAGAAGGGAAGGAGATTCACTTGCTTATGTCCTTCCTTTCCCTTTTACATACGAAGTTGACAGGATTTTAATATAATTTAACCTGAGCATTATGACAGGATATCATTAATATTTACTAATGCTAAGCGCCGGTCGTTTGTTCAACTGAACTCGTTGCAAAAAAAGCGGTGGAAATTGCTTAACAATTTGATTGATGCTCGGGTGAACAAACGATTGGTGATTTATTAATTAATACTACTACTTAACGCCAAAACGGTGGCTACTGCCGTAATAACTTATAATTATAATATTAGTGGTGTTAGTTATAATAATAATAATAATACTAATTGCAGC